CTAAAAAACAGTTCCAGATGTTTCAATGTGACAACGGCCAAGCGACGCCATAATATATATATATATATATATATATATATATATATATAAAGTGCTAATTATGTAGAGCGTATCAGTTTTCAGATGATCGATTAAGCATGGAGGTGCGAGGGAACCCGAGCAATATAGTTTTGCGTACGTATCATGTCATCGGTCCCCCTCAGATGATGCAGGTGCAGAGGGACACAGTGAAAAACAGGTAAACTGTAAATCACCTGCACGTTGCTTTCGGGGGAACTCAGTTAAACGATAAAGAATAATCAACAGCACTTCATTGTAAACACTATACTGACTAAATGGACGCGAATCACTCCGCCAGACGAAATACGCTTTGTTACCGTTTGTTGAACCTGTTTAGCAAAAACTGAGAAGTTAATTAGTTTTCTTCACCAACAAGTAAAAGGAAATCGGTCGGCTTTCTTTGAGTAAATTATAGACGAGTTGTTATTACGTCACCCAGAACCACGTTTGTCACGATTGTCCAGCCTACTGCTGGTAGATCAAAACTAGGGGCATCACAATATATGTGGATTATCTCAGCTCCAAATTTAAGGTTAAGCACACCTCGTGCAGATTTGTAGCATTCTTGAATTCAATTTGCACGGCAACAATAGATTCCATGCTACAGATTGAAAAAATGTCCCTATGACTCCGGTATCCCACTTATGTAAAATTTACTCCATGGCTATCAGTTTAGGGGTACCTTTTGGGTCTCAGTAGCACTAGTGGAATCGAGGAGGATCGACAGCAACACCAGCTTTGGAATAGTAGAGCACTGAGTTAGGTGATCTATATCCATAAATATACGTTGGTTCAGACAAGTTTTCGATAGATCGGGGTTAGACGCAGAAACAGAGGACCAGTTATTCACTAGTGATAAAAAAATGTAATCAACAGGATCAGCTTGAATTGTAGAATTGGTTTCACGAAACCTCGTTGCACCCCAACCAACGACTGTGTTTGCCACGGTATCCATAATTTTGATTTTATTTCTCTAAAATAAGCAAAGATTGCATTCCCTAATTGCCACTCATTCAGCAGC